TGATTGCACATTCCCCCCTCCAGCCTCCACCCCATCTGTGAAAAAAATTGTCTTCTAGGAAACTGGTCCTTGATGCCAAAAAAGGTTGGGGACTGCTGCTAGAGTATAGAGTACAGGGTATCTGGGATGTCTCGTTTTAACATTTGTGAAACACTGTTCCTTTTTCTAAAATGCACATTTCTTTATTCTTGCCTTCTTTCCATGTTCTCATTACACTACAGGTAAGGCTCAAGAGGTGGAAATCCATTCCCAGCTTTCCTAACAATATAAACTTATCAAAGGTGGTAGGAGTGAATATGAGAATAATTGCTCAATGATATTCTTGGCATTGTAATTTTTCATGCTGTGTGTAGCTCCCTCTCCAACACCAACACTGTGCTTTGCCCACACGTGTTTTAATCAGTGGTTCCCCCACCTCCCACAATTATTCACACAGTCCTGCTGAACAATTTTCTTCCCTCTGCCTGGCATAACAACAAAGCTCAGAAGCAGGAAGGAATGCCACTTACAGGCAGGTCAGACAATGATGCAATTAACTGATCAAGGAGAAGTGGTATTTCAGAGAGTCTCATAGAGCAAGAGCAAGGCTGATTTATTGGATTAGAACATTAACAGAAAACTATAGTTGCTAAAGCATGAATATCTAAATCAAAATTTTTTCTCTGAATCAATAAAAGCATGTGTAAATATTACTCCCTCCTGTGAAAGATGAATACTTTATATAAAAGTTTTAATTAGAAACAAATTTAAAACCAGTTTGGAAGAGGAATTTTCTTCATTCTGTGCTGTGCAAGGTGCAGAGTGTGTATTTTTGTATGTCTTTGCCAAATCAATTTCTTATAACTGGACTCCATGATGCAAAAAAAGAAAGTCAATTCAAAAAGAACCAAGTTCCACATATTAGGTGCTTAGGATCTAAAGGTGATCAAAATCAGTCCCTGCTTATAAAGAAGGTAAACTAGTTGAGGAGGTTCTCAACATAGGAAATTATATTTCATATAATCAAATACAGGAAAATTTGTGGATTTATGACTTCAGCTACAAGTCCAGCAAAAAGAGAATGGAGTTGTCTTGTTCTGTTCTCCCCCCCAACCCCGAAAAAACAAAGAACAATCTGACTAGGGACTGGGACTCAAACTCATGACTTCAGAGGAATTAGAAACCAATGAGACATGGCTTTCAAAGTATGTCCTTAATAGAGACTAGAAGCCATGTGACCAGAAGTAGCTCAGTTAAGAGAAGTATATTTCATTTAGGTTGTTGTGCTTTCAATTTGAGAAAGGAATCCAATCACAGCAGGACTGGCAGTAGTGGGAATCTGCCTGGGGAAGGGGGGGCACACCTCATCAACAAGGGGACCTGCATAATGAACATTTGTATACCTAACGCCGATTTATACCCCACATCTTTAAAATAAAAAAATTAAAAGTTAATAAATAAAAAGGAATCCAATCATAGATGAAGAAGATTTTCATTCCATGTTGCAGAATCATTGGTCACTTTTACTCTCTTCAATGTATAGTTTTCTATTTTTTAATAGCTACTACAGTATGATATATGAGGTTCAGAAGTACTCACCAACCAAGCAAATGGCAAATGCCAAAGCTAATAAATATAAAACATTAGTCCAAGACCTCCCACATATATTTAAAGGCAAAGAATAAATATAAAATATCTAAATTAATTAACTTAGGTTCTATTATACCTCTTTCAATTACTTTTTTTTTTTTTTTGAGTTGGAGTCTCACTCTGTCTCCCAGACTGGAGTGCAGTGGCCGCTCTCGGCCACCGCAGCCTTGACCTGCTGGGCTCTGACGATCCTTCCACCTCAGCCTTCCAAGTAGCCAGAATTACAGGCATGCAGTACCACGCCCGGCTAATTTTTTGATTTATTGTAGAGATGAGGTCTTGCTCCCCAGGCAGGTCTCGAACCCGCGGGCTCAGGCAATCCCACTCACCTCAGCCTCCCAAAGGTGCGGGATTACAGGCTGAGCCACCGAGCCCGGCCTCTTTCAATTTCTTAATGCTCAGGGAAATATTACCAAAAGAGTAAAAATGATCAAGACGACCAAGGTCAAAGCAGTTTTCATAATTTGGTAAAGCAACATGAATTAAAAATTACCACTCTAATCCAATATCACTTTCAAGCTTATGAGGACTCCTTCAGGACAGAGACCATGTCTTTACATCTTTATATCCCCGGCATCTAGAATAGTACCTGGCAAACAGGAGTCACTCAAGTAGTAGAATGGATAACTTTTCTGAGTGTACATTAAGAAACCATTGAAAGCCTGTTTCTCATCTATATTCATTGCCAGCAATCCAAAAGATGAAAATATTGACAATTTGATGTAACTGAGGAGCGTCTATAAACTAAGATAGGCATCCCTGAACGAAATGTTTCAGTACTCAGGAGCAAAGGCTGCAGGTGCCTACTCCCCAAAACCCAAAGTGGAAAGCATGACTTGTATGGCAGCTTGGCTCTTTTCCCACATCCAAAATAATCAATTGCACAAAGTAGGCTTAGTCCCAAAACTGTCTGGACTTTGTTCCTCCACCAACATCTGGGTTCAGCATGATTCCTGACCTCTACCTCAAACTGGAAATTTCAAACACTGAGAACTTCACTCAATAAGAAAGTAATGTCATAAGTCAAGGCCAGGAGAGACACAGAAGCCATGATTTAAATGATTCGGACATACCTGCAAATGTTTCTAAACATCTAAAATATTGAAAATACTTTTTAAGAAGAAAATTTTGCTGGGTACAGTGGTTCACACCTGTAATCCCAGCACTTTGGGAGGCAAGAGGATTGGCTGAGCCCAGGGGCTCAAGACTAGCCTGGACAACTTGGCAAGACCTCATCTCTACAATAAATCAAAACATTAGCTGGGTATGGTGGCACACACTTATAGTTCCAGCTACCTGGAAGGCTGAGGTGGAAGGGTCACCTGAGCCCAGCAGGCCAAGGCTGCAGTGACCCTGAGCATGCCACTGCACTCCAACCTGGGCAAAACAGTAAGACTCCAACTCAAAAAAAAAAGAAAGAAAATTTTAAATGCACCTCCTCAGATTAAAAGCACTCACGCTACTGAAGAGAAAGATGTATTTCACGAAGCTAGATGGTCCTACCAGAAGCTTTTTCTTTCTAGAGAAAGCATACTCTTCTCTTTGCCATAGAGTTTGACTCTAAAAACCTGGTTTATAATCTGAAACCCAAAACCTGATATTTTTTTAAAAGACACGTCTTAAGCTGACCTAGTTTGGAAGTCTGAATGCCTTTAAGTTGCCAATGAACTGAAACTATTCATGAGAATGGGGTTTTTGAATGCGAAGAATGTTCTTTGGGGCTCAGCACAAAGATATTTGGCATAGATGACTGTAAATATTTGTAAAACTCTGGGTAAATGGACAGTGTTTGACCACACTCAAGCCTTACTTCCACATGGTAGTGTAGGAACAAGTTATCTAGGGTGATTGGGTTGAGTTTTTTTATCTGTCTTAAATAAAAAGTCAAGCAACTCAATTCTGTTACTCAACATCTTTCTCATATTCACAATACCTGTTTACATTTTATTTATTTATTTATTTATTTATTTTACTCATTGAGACAGCTGATCAAAGCCTAGTTAGTCAAAGGTTGGTTTTTGTTTTGTTTCGTTTTCTGTCCTACTTTTAAAGGTATATGCCCACTACAAATGAAAAAATACCATTCAAAAGTATGCAAGGGTAGGGTAGGAGTTGTGTGAAACCATGTCCTTCGATTTCATAATACAATTGTCTCCAAGTGGCTTTGTGGATTTGCTATAGATTTCTTTTTTCTTCCCCTCTCTCCTCCTTGAGACAGTTTTAGAAATACTTACGGAACTGCTACCCATGAAAAGGACCAGGGCTGGGAAAGACGGATAAATTATTGAGAAGGAGGGACCTGCAGAGGGATTAGGGTGTGAATGGGGCCAGAGACCAAGAGGTTCAATTCAGTGAAAGCTACAGCAGCCAGCTACTTTAATTAGCCAACAACTCAGCTAAGACTGGCTAGGTTCCTTTTGCCTTTTACCCACACCCTAAAAACTGAGTCATCCCAAAGTTCATTTATTTTGCTTCTAGGTATAGACACCCCTAATAAGCTGCTTCAGAAATGTTAGATATATTGCCCTTTAGTTCATGTCTCTCAATGTTCAAATAAACACTCAGAAATGCCAAATCAGAAGAACACGGACAGTCCTATTAGGAGCTCCAGAGCTAATATTTTGACAAGATGTATGTGGCAGAAAGCTTTAAGAAACTGACAGTCTGCCACGGAAACATGAAGAAGAACATTTTCCCAGAGAGAGGGATTAATTTCTAAGGAATCTGAACGTGAGAAGTATATGCACCAGGAGTAGACTTGTAGCAAAATCCCTGAAACTAACAAGAAAAGCAAAAATGCCCTAGAGGAGATAAGCAAAATATACCTTTTCCCTCTTGAAACAGCAGTCAGTTTCATTTTAACTTAAACTTGAAAATAGCCTTATAGGATCAGAGTCCCACTCTGTTTTATTAGCAATTACCTGATAAAATAATCACTATAATGTGTGGTCAAGATTCCATGGTTAATACAACATCTTATCCATAGTTATTGTTATATATTTTCAAATAACAAAAGGTTATTTGGCATAATCCGAGATTATGCCAACTTTTGGTCTCCTCTTAAGACATAGGAAGGAGGTTCTGGTCTGATCTTGAATTTTACGATACATTCCATAGTGACGGCTTAATCAAAAATGACACTGTTTTTTGTTTTTTGTTTTTTTTTTTTACCTTTGCAAAGGCATCCATTTTTAAAAGTTAACAGGTGTTTAAGGCATGGGGAAAGAATTCAATTCTGTATGGCTTAAACGGTGAAAGTGCAGAAAATAAAGCCAAAAATCATGGTGTCCCTGTTAGTCTCCTTCCCTTTTCCGAACACCACCACTCCGTCTTGCAATGTCTGCAGCCTTTACAAAGCTCGCTAGACCTACCTGGCAGGAGACCCGTGATCCTCGGCCCCGGGCTTCTCAACAGTCCCCCTGGCGCGCACCGCCAGCCCCGGCTGCGCGCACACCGGGGAGGAGGAGCCGGTTCATTCTCTCTCGCGCTTCCTCCGCACTCTGCGACTGACAGCTTCACACTTTGCAGGCTTGCAAGCGGACTCGCGCTCCCAGACCTCTGGGTCGGAAGGAGGAGGAGCCCTGGCCGCCTCCTCGCCTTGACTGGCAGCTGCGATGCCCGGGAACCTCGCAGCGTGCGTGGGGCGCAGCTTGCCAGCAGTGGTAGCAGCAGCGGCAGCAGCAGCTCGGAAGCCGCGCGTTTATTTATACAGGAAGCTCAGGCGCCGCACTTCCTACTTCCCATCTGGGTCGCACTTGAGCTGCAGGTGATGGCCTTAACCCTGTCTGAGCCTTGTCGCCGGCGCACCCTGAAGTCCCGTCCTCCTGCACCCGCTCGACTTGACAGGACCTTCCTCTCGTGCTCCTGGGACGGCCGCGGCAGGAAGCCGGGCAGCAGCCGCTAGCGCCTTTCATCCTGCCTGCCCACGCGAGGACTGTTCACCTCTTGGCCTTCAGGCCTGCTGCCTTTCTGTGGGTACATATCCTCACAGGTCACCTTTCTTCTCCCTTCTTCCCAGCTCTTGAAGTCCTTCTTCGACTTCTAACAGTCCAGACCTGCCTTCCCATTTCCCTGGACAACTGTTTTATAGAGACAGTCCCCATGCACATCTCATAGCTTGCCACTGCACTCCAGCCTGGGCGACAGAGTGAGACTCCAACTCAAAAAAAAAAAAAAAAGCTTGTACCTGATTTCTCCTTTTGCATCTAATGATAAAATTAGAAAGCAGGCCAATCAAATCAGGAAAGTCTAGTTTACCTCATAAAGTACAGGCACATACATATTGATGAAACAATGATTTCACCTGAAGTGCTTTGTTACTTAACTGGTTGTGCTCTCAATTAAAGAAAATGAAACAAAATAATCCAGAAGCCGTGGAGTACTATGAAGTGCTTCCTTGCTGTGATGTTTATAATGAATAACTTACCTACTCATTCTCCACACCCCACCCCCAAAGATCACAAGCCCCTAAATCTGAATGTTATAATTTTGAAATGTCACAACTCTGACACAGGAGTCATTCTGTGCTCGCTCAGCAACCTCACTCTACTTTTGCAACCACTGTCAGGAATGTGCTTCCTAAGAGGAAGGGACTCACAGCCCGGGTTCTTCATGGAAGGGATCTGTGCATGCCAGTGAAGTAGCAGCAGCATTCCAAATCACACAAGCAAATTGCTTCACAGCTCTCCAAGTTGAAGAAAACCTCTAGGTCAAAGCTAAGTGCCAAAAACCATAACGTATCTGCATGTGTGATGCTAGGACAGAAGACCAACCCACTAGTGGGGTAGGAAGAGCAAAAGACAGGGAAGATAAAATGGTAAGAAACCCCACAATAGGATACTTGAGCTTGAAAAGTCCTCCTAGCTATTTTAGCCCAGTCTTAATTTTAAAGATAAAGAAACTGCTGTCCAGGAAGATGTAGGTGGTTGGCTCAAACCAGACAGGAGTAGAACTGGAATGGAATCTAAATCTGTGTTACATGAGAAAGGTGCACATTAATGAAAACCACCAAGAAGGATGTCTAGCTTCAGATTTAGCAAATGGCTTAGATTCTGAGATAATCTACCTTAAGGAATTTTCTGGTACAAAGTAAACATTGTTGATGGACAGGAACTAGGAAAGATCAACAAAGCACCTTCCAAGAAGTTGGTTTATTCATTAGTGTTGAAGCAAATCTTTGGAGCCTTAAACCAAAGTTCAGTAGAGTCCACTTCTTAAATTGCCATTCATACATTATAACCTCCTGTTAACAGGATAAGGAAGCTGCTACCAATGAAAATGAAAACATGGGTTAAGCAATAATCATGGCCTGTTACCACCAATATTTTGCACAACTGAATAAAATCACCACTGATGATCTTCAACCATGCAAAATTCCTTAAATGGCAGTCAAAATTTAATAAGTCTAAAACATGTTGAATGCTATAGTGTTTTGCAAACAACTTTTTCAGATCTGCCTAAGGAGTCTACATTGTGAGTGAACATTCATTCTCTTGAACATTTATTGATCTTCTTCCAGACAAACTGCTAAACACTAGGAAGATAAAGATAAGTTAGACACGGATCTTGTCCTTAAGACCTCTCAATCTAGGGAAGGAGTCAGACAAGTAAACCAACGATCAAGATACTAATAGTTGCAGCCTATGTGATAAGGGATATGATAGACTTAAGCATGATAAGCTAGGGGAGCACAGAGAAAACTAATTTTACTGAAGGAAAAGCATTGATGAAAATAATCAAAGAAGGCATCTCATTTAAATCTGAGTCTTCAGGTAACCAAGAGGGGATGTTGGAGAAGGTTGAACCAGGCAGAGCAAACATCTAGTGCAAAGGCTTAGACATGAAACTTTAGATGAAGCTTTTCATAATTCAGAGCTGATATGTTCAGAATAAAAGAATGAGGGCCTTAGCTAACTTAGTGACATTTGGCATGCAAAGAAAGGGAAACAATGAAGAGAGATTTCAGAAACGGAATTGATGAGAGCTGGTATCTGACTGACGTGGGGGATGAGAGAAAGAATATAGCCCAGGCTGCCGGTGCCACTGAGTAGGAATCAAATTTTACAGAATAGGAGATGCCTCTAGGGTATACGGGAAGAACTGGCTAGTAGGACATCAATAAAAAGAGATCTGGGATGGAGAACCATTTGGGAATGGCCAACATTTAGGTGATGGCCATGGATGAAATTCCAAGAGCTAAGATCACCCACAAAAAGGGCATATTGCAGAGGAAAGCAGAGGCTTTGGACCTAGGCAGACTCTCTTACCCACTTGTTATTACTTAACATATTCCAAACTTAGCTTTCTCATATATAAAATAAGAATGATCATATCTATCTCATAGATTGTTGTGAGAGTAATGAGAGGTTATAAAGTAGCTAACACAGTGCCTGATGGACAGAGATGCCTGCACTATACAAGTCTTGGGGGTTTGGAACACTAAATGTCACCTTCTGGAATTGTGCAGTGTATAACCTGCTTCACTGTACACCATGGCCCTGGCCTGATACACAATAGGAACTCTGCTATTTGGCATTATTCATCTAAGAAGGGAAGGGAAAAGGAAAGTGAAAAGGGGTCTGAAAAGAGAACCCCAAAAAAATCAGTATGTAAAGAGCGGGTAAAAGAGGAGCCCTACAAATAAGTTTAAGAAGGAATTACTGCTTTTAGACTACAAAAACAAATGTAACATTTGATAGCTCAGACTGAGATGCAAAATCCAGACACTTATAATCTACAAAAATACTTTGTATCTTTCTGAGTAATGACATAATATTACAAATTGTTCACCAGCGATTGCAATCATGATGACCTTCATCATAATAGAGAATCATTTTCTAATCTGAATGCCATTCCTTCCTTTAAAAAGGCATGCAAAGTCTTGACATTAATGGTAAACAACCCAAATTATATTAACTGGTAATAAACATGAAGTCATACAAAAGTAAAATCAAAATAAATCTAAAGCATACTCAAAGTATTCCCAGCATGTGAGAGCAAAATATTATATATATATGCATACATATATATTAGTAGATTCTATATGTGTGTAAGATACTAAAATAATGTCATGCTGTCACACTATATATGTAATATATAATACATAAATATTATTAAATGCATTCTACTCTTAAATAAGCATCAACAAGGAGGATTTCTTCGTTGAAAATCATTCTCTCTGATTAATATAAAGAAAATTCAAAGTTTGTTCTTTAAATTAACCCTTCTACCTTGTATGTAAGTGGGTAATACCTACCTTGGACTTCTTAATTACATCCTGTAATTAAAACATACATTTTTTAAAAGAAGGTGTGTTCAATTTTGATAAACCAGGTGAAAGAATGCAAGTATTGGAAAATCAGCTTCCTCAACAGGTGCAATTCTCTCTCTACAGGCCCAGATGTAACAGAGGTCACCGTGTTCTGCCCCCGACAGTTTGGTCATTTCTCATTTCCAAACGACTATAATTTTATTTGCATTTTTTCTGTCACACCTAATGAGGTTCACCTTATGCATTCTTTCAATATTTACTGAGTGCGCGTTGCATATAGAACTCAGTGTAAGACACAATACCAAAAAGACTAAGAATATTACAAAATAATTTGATAGAAGCTATGCCAGAGACATTCATAGTGGTATGGCAAAGAATAGACATGAAACTACAGGGAAGGCCAAAATATGAATGATCCAGAAGACATCATCTCGGACTTGATAACAGAAGTTTCACAAGCTTGAGATGGGTCATTTTGTCTCTGTTTCACACACACAAGAAGCATCTCAACACCTTACAGAGCAAGTCAAAACCAACTGGAACCCAACAAGAAAAACCAGAATAATCTTAAACTGCCATTGCCATTATGCCACACAAGAGCCCATGGTGACTCAGGATGGAGAGCTGCATGAGAGAGCAAGATTCTAAAGGATTCAGGTGTCCAAGACTCTAACGTCCTATATACCACCACTAGCAAGCTGGAGTTAAGGGCCGATGAGAAAATGGAGTTCAGCATGCTTGCTCAGCACCTCTCTAGAAAAAAGGACAGCATTAACTCTGAATTAGAACTCCTCACAAGAAAGTCAGATGAAATAGTCTTGAGAATCCTTATGCTTGCAAGGTTCATATTAATACTTCCACTACTACAATCTCCTCCAAATTCCTGCATAAGACAATCAATGTGGGGGGGGGATAAACAAATGATGTTCCCACAGGCATCATCCCAACCAATGTACTAACTGGTTTATAGAAAATTAAGCACTCAGTACTGTGCATCCATATCCAACATAGATACAAAGAATTCCCCTGAATTAAAAATAAAAATGTTTCTTCTTGACTTAATGAACAGAGAACTTCATTCTTTGAATGAAGACTTCAGCCTAGAGAGATCAAATTACTCACAGATAGGAATATTACAGTTTTTAATTTTCCAGTGTGACTTTATTTTGAAAGGTAACTTAAAAGCTTAAGTTGTCTAGCTGGACAGTGGTTCATGCTTGTAATTCCAGCATTTTGGGAGGTTAAAGCCAGAGGATCACTCTAAGCCAGGAGTTCGAGACCAACCTCGGCAGCAGAGAGAGATTCTTCCTGTCTCTGCAAAAAAAATTTTTAAATTCTAAAACTCAAGTTTTCTCTATGACCTAGATGGCTGATTCCCTTC